AGGTAAAGAAAATTAATAGAAAAGAAGTAATATTGAGAGCACTACTATCAGCACTTATCGAGGATAAGGAATTTTGCCTGTAATATAATTAACTAGGTAGTAATTAGGCTGCATTAGAACTATATGTTTGGCTGCAAGCTTTTTTATTATCTTAGATATCCCTTGAGCTTTATTATCTTCAAATTTAATTTTATCAGCTGTATAAGGTGATCGAAAAATGTTTTGCTATAGATTATTCATATATATATATAAGAAATTAGGATTGTTTAGAACTTTGATAATATTGTTTTGTAATACTTTTAGATTTCTTTAATTAATACAAAACAATACATCTAGTTGTGGTCTGTATACTCTATTTTGATATTCAATAGTATGAGAATTCTAATATATAACAAGTTCTGCATTAAAAACTAGCTAGCTACAATTATCTGTAAGATTTAAGTGAATAGTTTTGATTCTATAGAGTCGTTCAATGAAGGTTAATACTGTTTTAGTATCTGAATATTGCTCTTCGATAGTTCTGTTTATTTATTTAGTGAAATTGTTAGTAGTCTATAGTTTCATATTAGATTTATCTTCTTCACTTAGTAGATATCTATTATCTATAAAGCTCAGAATCTACTCATATCTTATCCAATTTTCTTCAAGATTATATACAAAAAATGCTTTTACTTCAGTAGAGACAGGAAGTGAATTTATAAAACTTTTATATTTAATTACTATTTCTTTAGCTTCTAATACACTTCTGTATCTACCACTAATTTTAAATACTAATGCTAGTAGATATCTATATAATAGTTATAGCATATATATAAGTAACATAGCTACAGTATTACACAATTAATATAAAAAGTTGTACAATTCTACTCATTAGCTAAACTAAGCAAATCCTAAACTCAAAAAAAAACAAATACAGGTAAACTAATTTTGTAATAATTTTAGTTTTCTAACAAGTATATGATAATGTACAGTACTTTATAGAGTATTAATTACCATAGGTGCTACTCAATTTTTTGTGTTCAAAAATAATTCTTTAAAGTTTGTATTATATAAAACTAGCAAAGAATTATACTATAAATAATAGGTTTTAATGCAGCTTTTGTTAGCTGATATTTATTTATTACTACAAAAGGTTTTCATTCAATTGCATATAGCTGAATATGTTTAAATCCTTTATTATTTGGTAGTGTAATATATTCATATGGATATTCACAACTCGTATTTCAACAAGGTATATTTGCTATTATTGCTTCTACAGCAAGTCTTATTATATATATATTTTCCTTATTAGATAAAGCAAATCCTATCCCTTAAATTGTATTGTAGCCAAATTTGCCTGCAACTTTTAAAAATAATTTTTAATATCAGATAAAAATTTTAA